TGCTGCTGCTGCTGCTGCTGCTGCTGCTGCTGCTGCTGCTTGTCTTGCTGCTGCTGTTGCTGCTGCAGCACACCTCTCTAGCGGCACACCTTTTGAGAAATCTTCATTTAACCGCACAACGCAGCAACTGCCTGCAGCAGAAGCAGCAGCAGCAGCAGCAGCAGCAGCAGCAGGGGCGAATGACGCACTAACGCAGCTGCAGCTGCAGCAACAACAGTACCAACAGCAGCAGCAGCAGCCGCTGCAGCCGCAACTGCAACAACAGCAGCAACAACAACAACAACTGCAACAACAGCAGCAACAACTGCAACAACAGCAGCAGCAACAGCAGCAGCAACCGCAACAACAGCAGCAGCAACAGCAGCAAAGAAAGCAGCACAAGACAGAACCAAGGAACCCCCCAGCAGCAGCAGCAGCAGCAGCAGCAGGGCCGCACTTCCCAAGGGATCCTATATCATTGCTGTCTTCAGTTGTCTTCGCTCCCCTGCCGCTGCACGATGACAGCAGCAGCAGCAGCAGCAGCAGCAGCAGCAGCAGCAGCAGCAGCAGCAGCAAGACAAGAGGATCTCGCTCTTCGCTGCTGTCTTTGCTGCCGCTACTCCAAAGAGAGGAAGCAGCTGCCCCCGATGAGCTGCTGCTGCAGCAAGAGCAGCATATAGAACAGCAGCAGCAGCAGCGCAAAGATACAGAAGCTGCTGTTGAGCACTCTAAACACATTGAAGCTGTAAACCTCTTAGGGTCTCCTCTGCAGCAACTCGTGCAGCAGCAGCAACAGCAGCAGCCGCAGCAGCAACAGCTGCAGCTACGGCACCCCCAGCTGCAACTGCAGCAGCAACAATTGCAGCTGCAGCAATTGCATCAGCAGCAGCAGCAACTGCAGCCGCAGCAGCAACTGCAGCTGCAGCAACAACTCCAGCAGCAGCAACTCCAGCAGCAGCAACAGCAGCTCCTGCTGCAGCAGCAGCTCCTGCTGCAGCAGCGACTGCAAACCCCACAGCAGCAGCAGCTGCTGCAGCAGCAACTACAACCCTCACAGCTGCAGCAGCTGCAGCAGCTGCAGCAAGAGACCCTGCAGCAACATAGGCAGCAATTGCTGCAACAGCTGCAGCAGCAGCAGCAGCAGCAGCAGCAGCAACCAGGAGCAGCGAGACTGCTTATAGATCCGCTTGCGCCGGAGCAGCAGCCGAATGACCACCTGCAGCAGATGCAGCTGCAGCGTTTGCTGCACCTGCAGCAGCAGCAGCAGCAAAGGCTCCTGCTGCTGCAGCAGCAGCAGCTCCAGTTGCAGCAACAGCAACTCGAACAACAGCAAGCACTGCAGCAGCAGCGCCTTAACCCCGTTGGGGTATTGCGACAAGGCAGCCATTCGCTGCCTCAGCAGCAGCAGCAACTGCAGCAGCAGCAGCAGCAACTGCAGCAGCAGGAACAGACACTGCAGCAGCAACTGCTGCAGTTATGGAGGAACCCACAGGGATTTTTGCTGCCAGGGGTGCTGCCTGCTGCTGTGATGCGGCTGCTACCGCTGCTCGACCGGAGCTCTAGCGAAGCAAGCAGCAGCAGCAACAGCAGCAGCAGCAGCAGCAGCAGCCTTTTGTCGGCTCTGTAGAGAATCGGCCTTGTGGTTGGTGCTGCTGCTGCTGCAGCGCGCAGCAGCACCAACAACAGCAACAATAGCAACAACAGCAACAGCAGCAGCAACTGCAGCAGCAAATGCATCAGCAACTGCAGCAGCAGCAAAGCACCTCTTTGAGTTAACCCTAAACCCTAAACACATATTAAATAAACAAATAATAAATAAATAATAAACAAATAAAAGCGTAGGTACGTAGATCTTGATAACAATAAAGAAAAACAAATAAAGATATATATGCATACAGAGACAGCAGCAACAACACACGCGTTGCTGCAGTGATGGCTATACACCCCATCGCAGCAACAGCAGCAGCAGCAGCAACGAACATTGCTGTTGCTGCTGCTGTTGCTGCGATGGGGTGTACAACCTGAAGCAGCTGCAGCAACAGACGTTGCGCGAGCACATTCCTGCACTCTTTCTAATGTAGCTGCTGCTGCTGCTGCTCCTTCTGCTTCTGTTGTTGTTGCTGCTGCTGCTGCTGCACTCGTAATTGCTTCTGCAGTAGCAGCAAAAGCCGTATCAGCAACAGCGGCAGCAGAAACAGCAGCAACAGTAACAGCAGTAGCATCAACGCGAGCAGCAGCAACAGCAGCAGAAGCAGCAAAAAATAACTGCAGCAGCAGCTGTTGCTGCAACAGCTCTTGCCATTGCTGCAACACCAACAGCACAACCATTTACAGCAGCAGCAACAAGAGGAGCAGCAGCAACAACAGGAACAGCAGCAACAACAGGAACACCAGCAACAACAGGAGCAGCAGCAGCAACAGCAGCAACAGCAGCAGCAGCAACAGCAGCAGCAGCAACAGCAGGCACGTCAATTTCAGGACTGGACCGAGCAGCAGCAGCTGCTGCTGCAGCCACACCACCCATAACGGCTGCAGCAGCAGCAGCAACAGAAGCAACAGCAGCAGCAGCAGCAACAACAACAACAACAGCAGCAGCAGCAACAGTTGCAGCTTGAACCGAACTGGCAGGCATTGCCTGTGCTGCAACACGAGCAGCAGCAGCAGCAACAGCAGCAGCAGCAGCAAATAGAGCTGCGGCGTTTGCTGCTGTTCAAGCCCCACTGTCTGTGTGTTTTGGTTTGATTTTTCTTCTTTGAATTAATTAATTAATTTATTAAATATTTTCAGCAAAAAACAACCGACAAGCAGACGAAGGAGCTGCTGCTGCTGCTGCTGCTGCTGCTGCTGCTGCTGCTGCTGGTTGGGCCCGGGGCCCCCCTGCATGCGGCTCTCCGTCTCCTTTCTCGTCGTTCTGCTTCCCTTTTGTTAATTATATTTTTAGCAGCAGCAAAATACACTGAAGAGGCTGTGCAGCAGCAAAGAGTTTCGATTAGCTGCAGCAGCAGCAGCAGCAACAGCAGCAACAGCAGCAGCAACAGCAGCAGTCGGCGCAGCCTCAAAGGCTAATTTTCACATAGAGAGAAGACGAAGCAGCAAAAAGCAACTGAAGCAGACAGCTACACACATATTCTAATCTCCTGCTGCACCTGCTGCTGCTGCTCTTCCCGCTGCTGCTGCTGCTGGCTGCTGCTGTTGCTTACAGAGCGCTGGCAGCAAATATATCAGGTGTCTGAGGGCCGTCAGCGCCCTATACTACACTTGTTATGCAGCAACAGCAACAGCATTAACTGCAGCAGCAGCAACAGCAGCAGCAACAGCAGCAGCAGCAGCAACAGTAACAACAACGATCCTATCAGCAGCAGCAGCAGCAGCAGTCGCCCTTAGCTGCAGCAGCAGCAGAAGCAGCAGCAAGTCCCTGGGCCTTTTCCCATGCATGTGCAGCACCAAACACTTCTGCTGCTGCTGCTGCTGCTGCTGCTACAGTTGCCGGTGCTGTTAGCGAAACAGCGCAATGGAGCAGCAGCAGCAGCAGCAGCAGCAGCAAAAGCAGCAGGCGAGAGCCTCGGACATCTGGACACCACCTGCAGCATACAGCAGCAGCAGCAGCAGCAGCAATAATAGCAGCAGCAACGGTGTCTCTATTTGCCCCACTGTCGCCTCCACGAAGACTGCTGCTGCTGCTGCTTCCGCTGCAGCAGCAGCAGCAGCAACACCACGGAGACAAAAACTTGCTGCTGCGCGGCTGCTCAGTAGCAGCAGCAGCAGCAGCAGCAGCTCAGATGAGGGAACATTTAAAGTGTCTGCGGGCCTAGGGGACCCCGCTAAGCACCCTTCTGCTGCTGCTGCTGCTGCTGCTGCTGCTGCTGCTGCTGCTGCTGCTGCATTGGAAGACTCTGAGGGCAGCGGAGATGAGGAGTGGCTGCAGTGCGCAGAGACATTGCTGCTGCTGTTGCTGCTGCTTCTGCTGCTGTTGCCGTTACTGCTGTTTCTGTTGCTGCTGCTGTTGCTGTAGCTGCTGCTGCTGCTACTGTCTTTGCTGCTACGTGTTGCTGTTTCTGTATGTGCCCCAATCCTCTATAAGGCGGATGCCTTCGTTTTGCTGCTGCTGCTGCTGCTGCTGCTGGTCTGCTGCTGCTGCTGCTGCTTCGCTGCTGCTGCAGTTGTCGTTATGTTTGCATTCCTCTGCTTCAACCCCGCTGCTGCTGCTGCTGCTGCTGCGTTGCTCTTCGCAGGGGCCTGCTGCAGTCAGCAGCAGCAGCGCAGCGGCGGCACTCAGGATCTGCAGCCAGCAGCAGCAGCAGCAGCAGCAGCAGCGACGACGAAAGCAGCTCTCCTAGTTCTCCCCGTATTGTCTCCGATGCCGGTGTTGCTGCAGCTTCTCTAGGCAGCAGCAGCAACAGCAGCAGGGGGCCAGAGGCGGTGGCTGCTGCTGCAGCAGCAGACGCTGCTGCCGGCAGCTCCTGCTGCAGCAGCGAAGCTCAAATCGCATGCAGCAGCTTGGAGAGTAACAATGACGGTGCTGCTTTTGCTGCTCTCTGCTGCAGCAGGAAGAAGATGTGGGGCCCCGAAGCCTGTGCTCGTCGCGGTGATGCTGCTGCTGCTGCTGCCTTGTGGACGCCCGCTGCATCAGCAGCAGCAGCAGCAGCACTTGAAGAGACGCTGCAGCCGCTGCAGCGAGCTGCTGCTGAGCTGGCGCTGCCGTTAAGGGGCCCTAAAGGGATGGATTCGCAGCAGCAACCTACGCAGGCAGCAGCAGCAGCAGCAGCAGGAGCTGCTGCTGCTGCTGCTGCTTCTGCTGGCTTCCCGGCGCCGGTCAGTGCTGGGCAGCAGCCAGCCTGGGGCCTGCTGTCTCCATGCAGCACAGGGTAGGCGCTATGCTGTTACTGCTGCTGCTGCTGCTGCTGCTGCTGCTGCTGCTTCTCTTCCTGCTGCTGCTGTCGTTTGCAGCTACAGCTGCCGCGTTTCATTGCTGCGCAGCTAGACCGATGATCTCTTCGTGCTGCTTATATCCTTATACTCTTCCTCCTGCTGCCTCTGCCGCTGCTGCTGCTGCTGCTGCTGCTGCTGCTGCAGGTTTGTTGCGCTGCAGCAGGTGACGCAGTCTGCCGGCATAGTAACAGCCTTCTGCCGCTGTGGAGATCTGATAGCTGTGGGGACCTCTCGGGGTGTATGCGTCTTGTCTCGTCTGGAGGAGCAGCAATCTGCTGCTGCTGCTGCTGCCGCTGCTGCTGCTGCTGGTGGTAGGGGCGGTGGGGGTGGAAGCAGCAGCGGGGACGTTGCTGCTGCTGCTGCTGCGCTTCGCATGCAGTTTGCTGCTCCTAATGCTTCTGTTAGAGCCAGGCTAACCTCCTCTTGTGCATTTCCTGCTGCAGCAGAATCTGCAGGTGCTGTTGCTGCTATTGCATGCAGCAGCAGCAGCAGCAGCAACAGCAGCAGCAGCAATCTCCTCCTCCTCGTCAGCTACAAGAGCGGCTGCGTCGCCTGGGTTAGCGTTAAACCCCCAGCTGCAAGTGCGCAGCAGCAGCAGCAACAACAACAACAACAGCAACAACAACAGCAACAGAACCAGCCGCAGCAACAGCAACAACAACAACAGCAGCAGCAGCAGCAGCAGCAGGAACAGTTTGCCGTGGAGTTGCTGTGCCTCGCTCGCCCCGGAGCTGCAGCTGCGGCTGCGCCTGGAAGCGATGCTGCAGCACAGCAGCAGCAGCAGCAGCAGCAGCGGCAACAGCGCAGCCATTTATGCTCCGTGCGTTTTCTGGAGGGCAGCAGCAGTGCTGTTGCTGCAGGCAGCAGCGGCAGCAGCAGCAACAGCAGCAGCAGCAGCAGCAGCGGGCGGGGCCTGGGGTTAATGGGATGCGTTGCTGCTGCTGTTGCTGTCGACGAAGCAGCAAATTTGCTGCTGCTGCTGCTGCACCGCAGGCTGCTGACGTATTACACAGAGGAGCGGCTGCTAGCCACAGGGATTCCTTCCTTAGGTCTGCTGCTGCTGTTGCTGCTGCTGCTGTTGCTGCTGTTTCTGCTGCTGCTTTTGCTGCTGCTGCTGCTACCAGTTTGGCTTGGTATGGATAAGGCTGTTTGAAAGTGTGTAGGTGCAACTCAGCTTGCGCGTGGTTGCTGTTGCTGCTGCTGCTGCTGCTGCGGAGCCTTTTGCTGCTGCTGGTGGGTTGCTGCAGCTGCATCCGTTGCTGCCGCGTGATTTGCTGCTGCTGCAGGAGCACTGCTTGACGTGCGGCCTATGCCGCTCTTCTCTGCAGCAGACCCGGTGTGCTGCTGCGCAGCAGCAGATGAACTTCTGCTGCAGCAACAGCAGCAGCAACAGCAACAGCAGCAGCAGCAGCAACAGCAGCAAGTTGTTGCAGTGGCCTGCAGCAACGGCGTCGTCGTTCTGACTATCGACACGGGAGCCACCCTCGCTTATCACCTAGACGTAGGACCCCCTGAGCAGCAGCAGCAGCAGCAGCAGCAGCAACAACAGAAGGAGCAGCTTAGGGACAAGCAGCAGTATTTCAGGAAGCCTGCGACCTGACGTCTCTTTGCTGCTGCCGTTGTTTCTGTTGTGCCCTCAGCTAAGTGAGCAGCAGCAGCAGCAGCAGCAGCAACTGCAGCAGCAGCAGCAATTGCAGCAGCAGCAGCAGCAGCAGCCGCAGGTGCTGCTGAATTTCCCTTGCATTTGCTGGCTGGCGAGAGGAGACAAACTGCGGCGTTTGTTCGCCTCCCCAGTCCTCGCGGTGAGTCATTTTGCTGCTGCTGCTGCTGCTGCTGCTGCTGGTGTTGCTGCAGCTGCTGCTGGTGCTGCAGCAGCAGCAGCTGCTGCTGCATCCCCGGAGCAGCTGGGTTGAGAGGAGAAAGGAGACAGATGCATAGTGGGGGGAGACAGTTATTTGTTTGTTTCTGTTTGCTTCGTTTGTTTCTGTTGCTGCTCATTTGTTTATTATTATTAATTCACATCGTAGCTGTCTCTCTCTTGTCTGCTGCTGCAGGTTGCTGCTGGGCGCCTGCTGCTGCTGCTGCAGCGCCTCGGCAGCGAAGTCAAGCTGCTGTCTCCTTCCTTTTCTCTCTGCGCCCCAGCCCAAGTAAGCAGCAGCAGCAGCAGCAGCAGCAGCAACAGCAGCAGCAGAATCAGCAGCAGCAGCAGCGCCAGCAGCAGGACAGTAGCAGCAGAAGCAGCGGCAGCAAAAGCAGCTACAGCTGTAGCCGCAGCAGTAGCCAGATGGTTCGCTTGTGCTTCTTTGTCTGCTGCTGCTGCTGCTGCTTCTGCTGCTGCTGCTGCTGCTGCTGCTGTTTGTTAGGCAGTGGAGAGTTTGGGGGATTCTGTCGTCTGCGTGCTGCACTCGGCCTCCGTAGTTACAATCTATCAACTAGTAGAGCAGCAGCAGCAGCAGCAGCAGCAGCAGCAACAGGCGCTGCAGCTGCTGCTGCTGCAGCACGTCGATGTGGGGCATGTGCGGCCTCTTTACTACAGCTTTTCAGATACCTCTATCATTGCCCATCAGCAGCAGCAGCAGCAACAACAACAGAAGCAGCAGCAGCAACAGCAGCAGCAGCTGACGCATCAGGTTTGTCTTCAGAAAACCCCTATCCTTTTAGTGCTGCTGCTGCTGCTGCTGCTGCTGCTTGTTTGCTGCTGCTTCATTCCCTGGTATTGTTTTGGTGTTCCACCAGGAGAAGTCATTTGCTTCCTCACGGCTACATCTGCTGCTGCTGCTGCTGCTGCTGCTGCTGCTGCTGCAGGTGTTTGGCTCCTGCAGCAACACCTCTGGGCCTTCGCTGCTGCTGCTGAGTTATGCGGGGACACTCAGCAAATCGCAGCAGCAAACGAATGCATGCAATGATGGCGCTATTAGCTGCTTTAGAGACATCTGCCGGCAGCAGCAGCAGCAGCAGCAACAGCAACAGCAGCAGCAGCAGCAGCAACACCCGCTCCATGAACCCTGCTGCAGCAGCTGCTGTGCTTGTCTCTGTGCTGCTGCTGCTGCTGAGGACCTCTCTGTATTTCAGTTGACAGTCGCAGGACTAGAGGCAAGACTTGCTGCTGCTGCTGCTGCTGCTGTTGCTGTCTGCTGTTTCTGGTGCTCTTGCTGCTGCTGCAGCAGTTGCTGCGTCTGTTACTGTGCATGCTGTTCATTGTGCTGTTGCTGCTGCTGCTGCTGCTGCTGGTCTTCTTAGATGCCTTTTTGTTGCTGTCTCCTGCTGCAGCTGCTGCTGCTGCTGCTGGCTCAGCTGTGGAAACAGCCCCGTATTTACTTGCGTTTATTTATGTGCTTTTGTTTATCTCATTTATTTGTTTATTTATTTATTTATTTATTTATTTATATTATTTATTTATTTAATCTGTGCAGGGCATTTTGCTGCTGGAGTTTTTCTCGCCTCTTCGTCTTGCTGCTGCAGCGCTGCATGAAGACCGCCAAGACCTCGCACTTGCTGTTGCTGCTGCTGCACTCAACGTATGCTGCTGCTTTTGCTGCTGCTGCTGCTGTTGCTGTTGCTGCTGGGGCTACGGATTGATGGTGCTGCTGGCTGGTGCTGCTGCTGCACTCAACGTATGCTGCTGCTCCTGCTTCTGGAGCTGCTGTTGCTGCTGTTAGTGGTGGTGGTGCTGCTGCACTCAATATATGCTGCTGATGCTGCTGCAGCTGCTGCTATTGGAGGTGCAGTGGGTCGGGGCACTGCTGCTGCAGCAGGAGTTGAGCAGCTGCGGGCATTCTTCTGTTGCTGCTGCTGCTGCTTTTGCTGCAGTGAACTCATTCTGTTGCATGCGTTAGGGTGGTTGCTGCTGCAGTCGTTTGCTTTACTACTACTGCTGCTGCTGCTGCTGCATTTGCTGCTGCTGCTGCTGCTTTTGCTGCTGCTGTTGCTGCAGGGCTCCATCCCTCCTCTTCTTTCTCTCCCCGCTACTGCAGCAGCTCGGCGCTGCCTCTTCAAGATCATCTGCTCTCCTTTACTTGCTGCTGCTGCTGCTGCTGCTGCTTCTGATAGCAGCTGCACTAGTAGCAGCATCCGCAGCAGGTTGCAGCAGCAGGCGATCCTCCCTCCGCAGCAACAGCAGCAGCAGCAGCAGCAGCAGCTTGTTGCAGTGGGCCTCACAGCAGCAAAGGCATTCTCCTGCTGCTTTGAAATGTGCGATGTGCTGGGGGCCCCGGGGCTGCTGCCGCCGTTGCTGCTGCAGTGGCTACTGGAGCAGCAGCAGCAGCAGCAGCACAACTTGGTAGGCAGCAAGCACGGCTGGGGTGTGCAGCAGCAGCAGCAGCAACAACCGGAGGATCATGAGCAGCAGCAGCAGCTGTTGCAGGCAGCAGCAGCAGCAGCAACAGCAGCAGCAGATAAGCGTGCTGCTGTTTTGTTTGCCTTGACAGAGCGCCAACTCCTGCTGCAGCAGCTGCCTGCTGCTGCTATCCCCCACAGCTTGCTGCTGCGGCTGCTGGCCTCCTTAGAAGCTCAACTGGAAGCTGCTGCAGCAGCAGCCTTCCCTCAGTCTTTACAACCTCCAGACACGAAACCTGCTGCTACTGCTGCTGCTGCTGCTGCTGCTCTTCTGGGGCACGATGCAGTGGAGGAGGCAGCACTGATTGCCTGGCTGCAACAGTCCCCAGCAGCAGCAGCAGCAGCAGCAGCAGCGGATGTGCGTTTTTCTGCCTTTACGCTGCTCAAGGATTCAATGAAAACAGCAGCAGCTGCACTTGCAGACGAAGTCAGGAGCAGCAGCAGCAGCAGCAGCAGCAGCAGCAGCAGCACAAAGTGCACAGTGGAAGCCATAGCCGAGCTGCAGCGCGTGCGCCGCCTGGTTGAGTCAGTGCTCATCTGCTTGATGCAGGAGCAGCAGCAGCAACAGGAGCAGCAGCAGCAGCAGCAGCAGCAGCAGCAACTGGATGTACACTCCATGACTCGTGTTGCCTGCGTCCATCGTCTATGGACGGCCGCAACAACTCTGCTTCATCAGGGTAAGCTGCAGGCAGCAGCAGCAGCAGCAGCAGCAACAGCAGCAGTACCAGCAGCAGCAGAAGTAGCAGCAGCAGTAGCAGCAGCAGCGGTAGGACTAATTGCTGCTGTAGTAGTAGACTTGCAGGCCCTCCAGAAGCAGCTGCACACGCACTCAATACTCGCTATCATAGCAGCAGCAGCAGCAGCAGCAGCAGAACCTGTAGCAAATACACCTACAGTAGCAGCAACACCAGCACCAGCACCAGCAACAGCAGCATCAGCAGCAGCAGTAGCAACAGCAGCAGCAGCGGCAGAAGCAGCAGCAGCAGGAGTGCATGCGTTGTGTTGCTTCAGGCTTCCTTGATCCTGTAGCGCCTTTAGAATGGCTGCTGGCGGAGCAGCTGCGTATACACCGCGTGCTGCAGCAGCAAATGCAGAAATTTATCTGCGCTCCCTTGGAAGCAGCAGCAGCAGCAGCAGCAGCGGGAGCATCGGATCCGAGCAAGCCAGCAGCAGGGCCAGTAGAAGCAGCAGCACCAGGAGCAGCAGCAGCAGCAGCAGCAGCAGCAGCTGCTGCTGCTGCTGCTGCAGTAAAGGAGGCCTCATTGTTTGTGGGGGAGGGTGATTGGAAGCTGCTGCAGCTGCAGCAACTCACCATCGGGCACCTGCAGTGTTTGCTGCAGAGGAAGACCTTCCCGCTGCATGCAGCAGCAGCAGCAGCACAAGCAGCAGCAGCAGCAGCAGATATGTCCTTCTCAGAAGAAGACATCCGTGGGATGCAGCGTGTCTTTGACTATATCTGCAGGCGACCAGCAGCAGCAGCAGCTGCTGCTGCTGCTGCTGCTGGAGAACTTATTCTCGCTCCTTACAAGCCTTGCAGACGTCAGCAGCAGCACGAGCAGCAGCACCAGCAGGAAGAGCAGCAGCAGCAGGAGCAGCAGCAACAGCAACAGCAGGGCTATCACATCCGGGAGCCTCCGCCAGTGCTGCAGCGGCTGCTGCTACTGTCGAGCAGCGACAGCATTACGCTCCTCAGCGATTTGCTGCTGCTGCCACTGCCTCGCGTGGCGCTGCAGCAGCAGGCAGCAGAAGCAGCAGCAGCAGCAGCAGGGACAGAACAGCAGCAACAAGAGTTTCAGGATTCTTCCTCACCCGCAGCAGCAAGCAGCAGCTTTTTTGAAGGCAATCTGCTGCAGCAGCTGCTGCAGGGAGTAGGTGATGCAATTATGGCTTTGCAGCAGCAGCGAGGAGAGCACTGCGCTGCAGCAAAGAAAGTAGCAGCAGCAGCAGCAGCAGCAGCAGAAACAGCGGCAGCAGCAGGTGATGCTGCTGCTGCAGATGCATTTAAGGGCCCTAGGTGGGCACTCCAGAGTCTTCTGCTGCAGCAGCAGCAGCAAATGCAGCGGCTTCATGCAGGGCTGTGGCAGCTGCTAGCTGTTGCTGCTGCTAGAGGGCAGCAGCAAGTCGTGCATGACGAGCTGTTGCTGCAGCAGCTGCTGCTGTTCCTTGTCTACGGGAAGCCGTGCTCTTTGCTGCTGCTGCAAGCCTGTACCAGCAGCAGCAGCAGCAGCAGCAAGTGCGGTGCGGCTGTCTCTTGTTGGAGCCCTGCCCTTGAGGAGGAACTGAAGCTGCTGCTGCTGCACGACGTTGCAGCAACAGCAGCAGCAGATGACAGCAGCAGCAGCAGCAGCAGCACAGGCTGCTGCTGGACGGCAAGACAGCGCGAAGCCCTGTTGGTTCGTATAATTGAGAATGTAGCAGCAACAGCAGCAGCAGCAACAGCAGATGGAGACGATAAGGATCTGCTGCTGCATGTACGCAGAGCTGTGGCCCCACTGCAGCAGCAGCAGCAGCTGCTGGCAGCAAATGGATTTCATGCTGCAGCAGCTCGTTTGTTTGAGGCTTCAAGGGCATACGACGACTTCCTTAGCTGCTGTCTGCTTCGCGACAAGCAGCAGCAAGAGCAGCAACAGCAGCAGCAGCAGCAGCAGCAGCAGCAAGCTGCGGAGCCTTGCTGCACGTCTCCAAGTGTCTCCCTTTCGTGGTTGCCTCAGGGCCCCGTAGATGTCTTTGAAGAAGTGCAGCTGCTGAGCAGCAGCAGCACCATCAGCAGCAGCAGCAGCAGCAGCAGCAGCAGCACGATAGCGGCTGCTGGTGTTGCTGAGGGAGCTGTTGCTGCTGCTGCTAGCAGCAGCAACAGCAGCAACAGCAGCAACAGCAGCAGCTGGGATTACTGGCGACTGCGTTTGCTAGATGTCTCTGCTTTTGCTGCTGCAGTGCTGCGGCTGCTGCCGCTGCTGCTGGCAGCAAATAAAGACAGAACCGGTGATTTTCTAACGCTGCTGCTGCAGGCAGGCTTGAGGGATGGAGGGAAGGAGCAGCAGCAGCAGCAGCAGCGACAGCAGCAGCAGTATGCATCAACGCTGCTTACAATGCTGGAAGGAAGCCCCACGCTGCAGCTGCAGCTGCTAGATGCGCTGCTGCTGCCCCCAGAACTCCATAGCAGCAGCAGCAGCAGCAGCAGCAGCAGCAGCAGCAGCAGCAGCAAGAGCTCCTTGCGTTACTTCCAGTCGCAGCAAAGCTACACGGAATTCCTGCATGCTGAACTGCCCAGGCAAGCAGCAGCAGCAGCAGCAGCAGCAGCCTCAGCAACAGCACAGGCAGCAACGACAAAGCAAACTACCATACTATAACAGCAGCAGCAGCAGCAGCAGCAATATATATATTGTAATGAACTTTCTATGCGTCTGCAATAGCGCTTCAGTGTAAATATGCCTCCTGTTGCTGCTGCTGTTGCTGCTGCTGCTGCTGCTGCTGCTTCTATATGCGCAGGTATTTTTCTTTGATCTGCAGCTTAGACCCTTCTCGCGCTGCACCGGTGCTGCAGCAGCTGCTGCCGCCTGAGGAAGCTATCCCCGGAGAGTTGGTGGAGAAGCTGCTTCTGCTGGCAGCGCAGCACAACGCCTTAGAACTCACTGCAGCACTTCTAGAACGCAGCGGCGCTGTGGAGGTCTGCTGCTGCTGCTGCTGCTGCTGCTGCTGCTGCGGTTGCTGCTGCTTCTCTTGCTGCTGCAGTTACTGCTGCTGCTGCTGCTTTGGGTACTGCTGCAGCTGATGATGCGGCTGCTTCTTCGACTGCTGGTGCTGCTCTAAGTGTTGCTGCGGGTGTTGCTGCTGCTGCTGCTTTAGCTGCTGCTGGTGTTGCTATCAGTACTGGTGCTGCTTTATGTGTTATTAGTGCTGCTGCTGCCGCCCATAAGAAATCTTTATTTATAGAGCTTCTTGCTTTTTCTGCTGCTTTTGCTGCTGCGTTTGCTGCTGCTCCTCTTGCTGCCGCTTTGGCTGCTGCGCTTGCTGCTGCTGTTGCTGCTGTTGCTGTTGCTGCTGCTGCTGCTGCAGGGAACGCTGCAGCTTCTGGAGGCTTCATTTAAACGTGCCCTGGAGTGCTTGCTGCAGCAATTTAATTCACCTGCCTATACACTCGGAGCAGCACTTCGGTGTCTGAGGAGACGGCAGGAAGAGAAGAGAGGCAGCTTCCAGCAGCAGCAGCAGCAGCAGCTACTGCAGCAGCAACCCCTTTTCTTCAGCGGCAGCAGCAAAGACGACTCTGATTTGCTGCTCTTGCTCAAACAACAACAGCAACAGGAGAAGCAGCAGCAGCCACCGCATGCAACAACAGCAGCAGCAGCAGCAGAAGCATCAGGGGAATCAGACGCAGCCGCTGCAGCAGCTGCCCCAGCAGCAGCTGCAGCAGCAGCAGCAGCAGCAGCAGGAGACAGTTGGTGGGCTGGATGCAAGGAAGTAAAAGATATATTTCGTGCCCTTGAAGCAGCAGAAAGAGTTTGCTGCAGCAGCAAACAGTTCATTACGCCTCGAAGGCAGCAGCAGCTGTGGAGGTATTTTGCTGTTCTCACTGCTAAGACATACGAAGCAAACCCTATGACCCAGCACTTCCTGTTGCTGCAGCAGCAGCAGCAGCAGCAGAAGGAGCAGCAGCAGAAGGAGCAGCAGCAACAGCAGCAGCAGAAGCGACAGCAAGAAGAGGAACAGCAGCAGCAGAAAGATGATGCGGCTATTAAACAAATGCATGCACCTAAGGGGGAATCTGATGCTGCTGCTCTTGTTCCTGCTGCTGCACCTGCTGCTACACCTGCTGCTGCTGCTGCTGCTGCTGCTGGGCGGCAGCAGCAGCCCCTACGGTGGTCGGTATTCACAATGCTGCTGGGGGAGGTACTGGCTGCAGTGCTGCGGTGCTACACGCGTTGCTGCAGCAGCAGCAGCAGCCACAGCAGCAGCCTGACTAGGCTGGAGAGAGAAGCAAGGTTCTGTCATGAAGCTGCTGCTGCTGCTGCTGCTCTAAATGAGTTATACGAAGGGATTCCTGACTGCCCCGTTGCTGCATGCAAACAATCTCTGGTAGGCTGCTGCTGCAGCAGAAATAAAATAAAATAAATTAAAATAAATTAAAATAAGTTAAAATATATAATATATAAATTATTAATAAAATGAGAGTTGGGTTTTGCTGGCGTGTGATGTTGGTGGAGATAATCGCTGCTTCTGCTGCTGTTGCTGCTGCTGCTGCTGCTGCTGCTGCTGCTGCTGCTGCTGCTGCTGCTGCTGCTGCTGCTGCTGCTGCATGCGCATGCCTATTGGCCTGCATAACTTGATGGTATTTCGTCTCCGTCTATTGCTGCTGTTGCTGCTGCTGCTGCTTCTGGTGCTACTCTTTCTGCTGTTGCTGCTGCTTCTGCTTCTGCTGCTGCTGCTGCAGGTAGAGCTGCTGACTATAGTAGAACGGGAGCGAAGTTTTTTATCAGAGGTTTGCATAGCAGCAGCTAACGACAGCTATTTGCTGCTGCAGCTGCTAGCAAAGCAGCGGCTTCGAGGTGTATGCATAGATTTAGGAAAGAGACAGACAGCAGTTTGCTGCGCATGCGGTGTCCCCTTGCTGCTGCCCCCTCCTGCTGCTGCTGCTGCAGCAGCAGCAGCAGCAGGAACCACCAACAGCAGCAGCAGCAGCAGCAGCAGCAGCAGCAAATGGGCTATTGCTGCATTTCCCTGCCGCCATTTCTTTCACTTTGTTTGTCTCCCCGTCTCTTTTTGCTGCTCTCTTTGTTCTTCATATAAATAATATATTTATTTTATATTATCAAACAAAAACAATAATATATTTATTCTGCATATGTATATTATATATTTTATATTATATATTATATATTATATATTATCTACTATATATTATATATTATATATTATATACTATATATATTATATAGTATATTATATATATATTATATAAGAAGAATAAAAATATATTATTTTTATATTATAAAAGAAGAATAATATATAAAAAATAAAATAAATAAATAAATATAATATACTTCTTCTCTTTCTGCTGCAGCAAAATCCACTGCAGCCCCTATCTTACACGCTGCTGCTGCTGCTGCTGCTGCTGCTGCTGCTGCTGCTATTGCTTTTGTTGCTACTGCTGCTGTTGCTGCTACTTCTGCTGCTGCTGCTTCTGCTATTGCTGCGCTTGCTACTGCTGCTGCTGCTATTGCTGCTGTTGCCGCTGCTGCTGCTGCTGCTACTAAGTTGCTGTCTCAAGAGTTGCTGCATGTACAGCAGCAAGACGTACAGAGGTGCTGCTGTTTAATTAATATTGCTTGATTGTTTGAGTGTATTTATATTAATTTTTAATAATTTATATTTATTATTTGCTGTAAATGTTTTCTTTCTACGGTGTATATGCAGCAGTTTTATTGCTTTTCTCTTCTAAAGGGCTTTTAATTTAAATTAATTGTTTGATTATATCTTTTTAATTTGTTTATAATTATAAATTACAGGATTATTTAATTTACTTTAACTGCTGCACACAACACTAACAGGGCGGCTGTGGCTGTCGTTTGCAGCATATTTTCTCACTTAAGATAAAATTAATAAATTAAATTAAATAAATTAATTAATTAATTAATAAATTAATTAATATTATATATTAAATGAGACAAACATTGGCGCAGCAAACCTGCAGTCAGATGTCGCTGCTGCGAGGTGTATATACACCGCAGACTATGATAGCTGCTTTGCTGCTCTCTATTATTATTATATGTTTATAAAATTGAAACAATTATATATATTATTATTATTTAAATAAATATACAAACAAAGACATCAATAACGCAAGTACTGCGCAGCAGCAGCTCCTGCTGCTGTTGCAGCAGCGCAGCGGCAGCAGCAGCAGCAGCAGCAGCAGCAGACGGGGCTGAGGGGCCCCGGGCAAGGTAAAAAATGAATTGCATATTAAATTGAATGAATTGAGGTGTATATACTGTACAGATATTATTTTTACTGTTTTGCTGCTGTGTCTCTCTTAGCTCCCAGTACACCTGAGTCTGCTGCTGGCTCTCTAGTGCTGCAGCAGCAGCAGCAGCAGCAGCTCTTGTTTTCTGTCGTCTTCATTTTTTATTTTTTGCTGTTTCACCTCTTCCTTAGGAGAACAGATAATTAAAAACATTGCTGCAGCAAATAAGACTGCATGCAGCAGCAGCAGCAGCAGCAGCAGCAGCTTCAGGTGTACAGACGCTGCAACCCTTCTACTTTACTCTCTTATCATCTATCAGCAAGTCTTTTACTGCTGCTGCAGCGCAGCAGCAAACACCTCTATCCAGCTCTCCAATCAACGCGGCCGGCAGCAGCAAGCTGAGCAGCAGCAGCAGCAGCAGCTGAAGCTTTAGGACAGCAGCAGCAGCAACAGCAGCAGCAGCAGCAGCAGCAGCAAGCAGCAAGTGTTTGTCTTTGCAAAGAGGCTTTGCTGGTCCTCGTGAAGTTCTTCGCAGCTTCTTTAAAGAAGTGAGGGCGCCATGCAGCAGGAGCACCAGCAGCAGCAGCAGCAGTAGCAGCAGCAGGACCGGTATCAGCAGCAGCAAAAGTAGCAGCAGCAGCAGCAGTTTTTCTTTCTGCGGCTGCTTCACTGAGATGGAGGGAAATAAAGATGAGGCTTCAAGATGCGTGGCGCTCGCAAAGCAATCAATGCTAGCAGGCGACTTCGTGAAGGTCTGCTGCTGCTGCTGCTGCTGCTGCTGCTTCTGCCGCTGCTGCTGTTGCTGCTGCTTCTCCTGCTGTTGCTGCTGCTTCTTCTGCCGTTGCTGTTGCTGCTGATTATCCTGTTGCTGCTGCTGCTTCTGCTGCTGGTGTTGCTTCGGCCGTTGCTACGCCAGCTGTTGCTTCTGCTGCTCCTGCTGTTGCTTCTGCTGTTGCTGCTGTTGCTTTTGCTGCTGATGCTACTGTTGCTGTCGCTTCCGCTGCTGCTTTCGCTTCTGCTGCTGCTGCTGTTGCTGTCCTTGCTCCTGCTGTTGCGGTTGCTTCTATTGCCGCTGCTGCTGCTGCTTTTGTTGCTGTTGATGCTGCACGTGCTGCTGCTGCTGTTGCTGCTACCCGCATGACGAGTGGCGTTCCTTTTGCTGCTGCTGCTGCTGTGGCTGCTACTGCTGCTGCTGCTGCTTCTGCTGCTGCTGTCGCTGTTACTGCTGCTGCTGTGTCTCCTACTGTTGCTTCTGCTGCTGCTGCTGTGTCTGCTACCTCTGCTGCTGCTGCTGTCTATGTCAATGCTGCTGCTGCTGCTGCACACTAGTTCAGGATGAAGTTTCTGCTGCAGAAGAATGGGTGTTGTTTTATTGCGTCTGTTGCTGCTGCTGCTGCTGCTGCTGCTGCTGCTGCAGGCCCAGCGGCTGTTAGAGAGGGCGCAGCGTATGTTTCCTCTTCCTGAAATAAAACCCCTTGTTGCTGCTTGTTCTCATAAACTCAATCCTGCTGCTGCTGCTGCTGCTGCTGCTGCTGCTCCGACTGCGCCCAGCTCCGTGGGGGAGTCGGATGCGGGTGCTGCTGCAGCGAGCAGCAACAGCAGCAGCAGCAACAACAGCAGCAGCAACAACAGCAGCAGCAAAAGTGCTCAAGCCAATGGGCCGCGGCAGCGGGTCTCCCATCGTGGAGCAGCAGCAGCAGCAGCAGCAGCAGCAGCAGATGCATCATCTCGGCGCGCTCGCGGTGCTGGAGGG